AATCACATTTCGACAGTCAGAAAAAAAGATTGGCAATGTCTATTATTAACGAGTCGCCGTTACAATGACTCGCCGTCGAACCATAAGGTTTTAAATAGCGGTCGGTTTGAATCCGACCAATGGGGCGGCTACACGTTATACGCGGCACCGTCTACGCAACGCACAAACAAGTCATGTGAACAATTCCGCGTCCAGGCGCCGCGGGAACGACCCTGACCTTCACCTGCATAGCCGATAGATTGCAATAAACAAAGTCATGGCGTAGTGTCATGGTGGAATACCAGCATTAGGACGAAACATTATTATTGGTATTGATGGACTCGGTAACTCATGTGATGATATAAACGACATAAACAAAGTGAATCAATAATATATGTGTGTATACGTAGAAAAAATTAAATTGCAGTATTAAAACTTTAGATCAAATATCATATTTATAAAAGGTTTGAAGTATACTGTTATTAAATACAATTATTTTATCGTATCGCTGTATTCAACGGACGAATAGTACATAATATATGTACAATAGAAAAATTGTATTCGAAATCGGAGATATCTACAACTACGCCTGAACATGCAATGAAAAAGATTATCAAAATTCAAATATAATGAACCATGAATGTAAACCCTGTGATTATTTTGTTTGGACATTTATGCACTTAACCTGAATAATTATTCATGAAAATCCAGTTAGTTTAGGAAACCTAAACTGATCCTGAAGACTGGAAGTCTTTTATTAGATCTTCGGCCTCTAAAGGGATCCTGGAAATATCAAGATCCGCGATACCGCGTCCATTGATTACACTCAGCCTAAACATTCAAATTATACTTATGTTTCATTATTAGTATTAATCTGCTAAATAAAAGATAATGGAACACTTCCGCGTATTTTTATGATATTGAAGATGTAAATATTTTGCTAATTTACGTCAAAAGATCTAACGACATGTAAACAAGAAGGTCTGACATTGGATTCTTGGCTGATGCAATTTAGCAAATATGTTTTTACTCTATTCTGCATTTTATGGTACAGATATTTGTGATTATTATTTTTATAGACTTTATTCTACTACCTGGTTACTTCCTTTATAAATCTTTCAATGTCTCTATAATACTGGATAGTGGCGTTTATTAAAGCTAGAGCTGTGAAAGTAGTTTTGTAGTAAATGTCAAGTGGAACCAATATGTCAGGTTCAGCTGTTGCGGACGTACTCTTAGAGTAGTAGAACTGACGTTCTACTCGACAAGGTCGTTTGCATATATAGTTTATGCAGTGCCAACATAATGAAGGTTGTATTCACTTAGCAGAATATTGCCAAAACACACGCACACGAACACAATTACTATCACGATGTACTCTGATTCAATTTTTTATCTTATCTAATAATAAACGAACGAAACTGGCTGATCAAAGCAAATCGCAGCTAAAAATAAATAAAAGTAAAATTTCTCACAACGGTTCTTTAACTTTAAATGAGCACTAAGATGGAACTTCCCGAAATTACCAAAGGAGCGAGAGATAACGAGTTCCAAGTAGACGCAGCCACAGTACGCCTTTGTAACGGAATTTTAACACTTCTTTAATTACCATTGTCATTAAAGTTTGTACGAAAGTCTTGTTATAATAACAATAACTCTATTATCATTTCTGACATCACTAACGAATAATGTATACATAGACGGTAGTTTTCTCTATAAACTGTTAAATTACGTCTAACAAAAGTTAAGTTATGGGTACCGTAAATCACATAATTTCTACTTTTAGACTGCAGCCCTTTTCTCACGACTACAACTGATTTATACCGAACTCGGAAAAGATTTATTAGAACCGATGCATCGGGAGAAAGTTGTCTTGGCATGGTCCGCCTTTGTAAGTGAAAAGGACCTGATCGTGATATACACATTGATACTGAGATAAGTCACGTGAAAGATAAGTCAGCCGGTGCATATCTTGGCAGCCTCATACTTGGTTATAAATGAATTAATTGTTTATAGAAACGTAGTGCTCTTAGTTGCAACAATGTATCGAGTCAAAAGTACATAAGCGGAAAATTAGGCAATCAACTTACTGTTTATTAGATAAATCACGTGATACTTATATGAGGAAGACGACCTAGAAATATGATAAAGCCAATGTTATTTAAACAGTATAATTACATAGTGCAGTGTCGATGAAGGTTCAATAAAACTTTTTTTCATGATAATATTTATAGTGCACTATAAAATTATTGTAAACATGTTGGAAAGATTATTACTTTACACAATCCAAATGTGAACTTTGATATAGTCAATTTAAAATTCAAATAAAGCGACATATACCAAATAATAGACTAAGTATACTAGATTGAATGTTACATTTTCCGAAACACTTATAAATACAATACAGCTATATCCAAATGATCACAAACGATGTAATGTAGAGGCAGGTCAAGAGCAAGGAATAACACTTCCCAAAACTTTTCTCGTCAGTTAAAACGCCTACATTGACAATTATAAATAAAAGTATAAGAATATATTAAGATGGACTAAAACCTAAGTCAAACTGGGACGAGTCAACAACGGCTTAGAAATCTGATTAGATATCACTTATGCCAAATTATAGTCATACCCCACGGTCCATCTAATGGCGATAAAATAAAAGATTAATCAGACGTACAAAAATGAACCTATACTACTAGGAATAAATAAAAACTTGAAGGTTGCGTACAATTAAATCGCATAATTGATAAAACAGAGTAAAACCTGATATAATGGAGTCATTAAAATGAGCACGTGATACGAAAATGGATGCGTTAGACGGCGGTAACGATTTTCTCGGATCACAGCTGAGACGTGTGGACATGCGCAGTGCGTCCTACCGCCACGTGGTGGACATCAACTTTTAATTGTACATATCGTATGCTCTCCGATAGGAAAGTGAATTTAATTCCATACTTAGATTTTCACAGAACACGCTTTCTCTTTCGATATATCGAATACAGAATACATAATCTACAAGTCGCCACCTATTTCTTTTATTATTTCCATCTGTATTTTAAACTACAGATAGATATTCAATTATTTATCAATAAACATTGATATCGCTGTTGTATTGGCGATTGGTTTACGTTTTCTGATTGGAAATGCAGTGTCCAAATAATAATTTCAAGTGTATTTCACGTAACGTCGGGCTTGTTTAGCAGACATGCGCACAATTCAGTATTGGGCCACGTGTCAGAATCCCGTTGCATAATCTTTTCAGCTCAGATGGTTGAATTGTAATCAATTCTAGTATTATCTAAAAGTTTTATCAAAATGTTTACAAAATATAAGAATCCATTATAAGAGAATATATAGTTCATAGAATAATTATAATAAGGGAATACAAAAAAAAATAATGTGTTATGTTTGTTACCTCATAACTCCGTCAGTAGTAAACAGATTTAGAAAATTATTCTTTATCTGAAATAATATACTTACAAATTGATTCTATAGCAATATTTATCAAAATCGATTCAGTAATTTAAAAACATAGTTATTATGATTTAAAAACTAAAGTTTTTAAATCATAATAACTATGTATTTTGTCACAATTGATTTCGGGTTTTTTTGTTAAACACAATTTTAAATTGTTGAAAGTTAGATAAAAGAGAAAAAAAAAATTATAATATACGTTTATAATAGACTAGTAATATTAACGTAGCGTCAATAAGGTAAACGTACTAATTAAAATTATATGTTTATGGGATTACTACCCATATTTTCACAACTTAATTAACTAAATAACGAATTAATTAAATTTCGTACCACAAAAAAAAACTGACTTCAATTGTGGCTAAACCAGTTATTTTGATTTAAAAACTAAATTATTAAACCGACTTTGTTAAAACATCTTTGGGACCAATCTGTTAGTACATATATATAAATCCTTTCAAATAAAAAAAGAATTTTCCAATTCAGTTTACAACTAACGAAGTTATAATATAACTCCTTCATTTTAAAGTCAGTAACAAAACATGTTTAAAATCTACAAAGTTGTTACTATCACTTATTAAAATTTAAAGATTTCTTCGCTTCCTGCTAAAATATTGCGAACAGATACTCTCTTTATGTTATCTAGACCGGTATTGTTAGTTGTCTACTGGAATTTATAGTTTCTTGGATCTTAGTGGTCTTTGTACCAGGAAGCAAGCAACGAAAGTTTACCACCGGCCAGGCCACGCCTACGTGGACATAAATGGTATGTCGCAGACACGATGCACTACGACAACGCACACATGCACATTTTGTGCACACATCAAAACAATATCCGCAGAATGGCGGCAGAAATTACTCGCCATTGACAAAAAGATATTAAATTTTTTTCATTCTTAAAATTTGTAATGTTGGTGTTAAATAGTTGAAACAGGTCATAAATATTTCAATTACAAATTCTAAAATACAATACATTTAAGTAAGCAATCGGACTTTGATCATGGCTGTTGAGGTAAGCTATTCATTCAGCGAAGTGATTAACCAATGTTTTGTTGAGCTGATGGCCTCGGAGGGAATCGTGCCTCAAACAAAGCAGCAATGAATTTACTTGAAGAATTTAAAATACGAATTGCACCAATCCTCAGTTTGTAAAAACACAGTAATTAAGCACGCTACGTTTATAAACAACTGAACGTTATGAATACATATATCTATAATGTTATATAAGAGAAACAACGATTACAAACTGCAATTTACAGCGATCCTACATTGGAAAACATAAGTATGATACGACTAAATCCAAAACCCGCCATAATGTTACGTGGACGCCACGAGTGCGCCATGCCACGACAGACTAGAATAAGTCTCGTAAACCGACATATATCCACTTGTGTTACACTAATTATTGATGTATTTACACTCTCGTTTTACCATGGACCAGATTATTGTCACTTGTGACGTAATTTCCTCGAGAAACATATTATTATGAAGCCATGTGCCGAACACGTCGGCGCGCTATGGTATGCTATGGAACATCCAATGCGAACCTTATAAAACTAATTGTTTCCAATGGCACTTTACAATATAATCCATTTATATTTGTTAAAGACTTCGCAAAACCACAAATATGAGAATTTGATGTTGATAAGAACGCGGATGTGCTGTATATCCATATTATGTTAGAGGAATAGCGGGGTCGCATGAAATATGCGACGATCGCGCGCGGCAGCTGCGAAGCAACTGAAGGCGCGGCGCCGACAGGGGCGTCGCGGGGGGAAAGGAGGTGCAAGGAGCGGCGGCGGCGAACACCGGCAAGGGGGGCTAACCGCGTCTGAACCGAGTCTCTACTTCGCTAGTAGGGCTGCCGTGAATTGTGCAACGTCAGCAGGCGCGTGCGTACTCGTATTTACCTCATCTGGCGCCCCGACGCAAAGCGGTGAAGCCGGATAGACAAATGAAATGGTAACAAAAAAAAACTTTAGCGCCGCCTGACAATCAACAAAGATGACGTTCCGAACAAAGTCTGCTACGCACAAACAATGTGGGTTTATTACTGGCATGACAGCAATTTTAATTTTACTAAATTATTGAATGGAATCATTTTTATAGCATTATTCAAACTTGTATTTATTATTCGATAATAGATGGAACATTGCTGTGATCTGCAAAACTGTTACAGATAAAAGTAAAAAAAAGAAAAATGGCGCCAATTGAAAATCGAATTAAACAAAATAGATTATATAATATGATTAAATAAAAATGTTGAATTAATTTAAGTACATTAATATTAGACTATTAGTAATGATACCAAAACGTAAAAGTCCAGCGTTGAATTGGGACGATTGTATTACTGCTGCTATCATATTACGTTTCATTGTTTCAATGAGTTTGATACTTGAGATTGTAATTATTTATAATTTAACCAACAAAAATGATGACATAATAGTACAATAAACCTCTGTTACAACACAAGCAATTAATACAAACACAACAGATAAGATTGGTAAAGAGAACAAATTTAAATAATTAGAAGAAATAATAATAATATATAAGAAGTTAATAATTTATATTATTTTGTAGTAGAGTTGGTTCAAAAGTAACAAGATATATCAAAAGTGAGTTATTTCCAATAGCTTTTATATAGTTGAGTAGAAAAGAAAAAGGATGCATAATTTTTTTTTTTTTTATGGAAGGAATATCAAACATAGTGCTAATTTAATGTTCCTCTACTGGATTTTAAAAGTCCTTATCGTTGTAAATACTTTCCATCCACTTTCCATCAAATGGGTCGGTAGCTTGTTTGCCATTCTAAGTTGCATAAAAAAATACATGAGATAGGTTAGTTAATAGTTAGACTAATAATAGTTAAAAATACATTATCAGACACAATCATGAATAATAATAAGAATAGAAATAGAGAGAGATAGAGAGGGAGAAATATAAGAGAAGAAATAGAGAGAGAGAGAGAGAGAAGTATAGTAGAGTTTTTTTTCAGTGGATGATAATGGAATGGCAACCCCGCCTGCGCTAACGGTATACGCTGGCGGGGCACCAGTGAGAGGTGATAAATGAGGATGAAAGGGCAGGTCAGTTAGCCAATCGTGATGAATACACTTGGAATTTATTACGATAGTTTCCAGAGGGGACTACGTGGAGGTCGACCTGTTAGGGTATATTGCTAGCAATAGGACTGATAATCCACATTACTAACAATCCCTTCCCCCCGGTATAGTAGAGTAGATATACAACCGAATTGCGAATTCGGGTACATATATTTAAAATTTTCATTGCTCAAAATCAATTGTAGTTGAAAATCTTTTTAATTGTAATTGAAAATTAGTGAGAACAAACCTACCTCCCAATTTTATTATAAAAACATTAATTATTCTTTTTATAACACTAAAACATTTATATAATGAACATCAGAAAAAAAAATAATTAGCAGAATCAATTAATATCTAAGTAAATCGATTGGACAAGCAAATATTTTTTATTTGTCTAAGAAACAAATCGATAAGTACTCTCAAGCAAAGGCCAACCATCCAACTATACTAATCAACCGACTTCAAAAAGAAGGAAGTTCTCAATTCGTTTCTTATTTTTTTTTATGTTTGTTACCTCATCACTATTTGGAAATTCTTTAAAACAGGATATACTTACAGCTTAGTTCCATAGAAATTTTATCAAAATCGGTTCAGTGGTTTAGTGTTTAAATCAAAATAACTGGTTTTGCTACAATTTTACTTTAATTATTTTATTTTTAAATTTTATATATTTAATTAACTTAGTTTATTTTATGTGGGACACTAATTATTTTGCTATTATTAATCAGTACTGATAACTATAGCTGTTGTATTAACAACTGTTTATTATTTTAACCGTAATTATAAATACCGATAGGTACTTACAAGTATTTGTATTTTTTTTTATTTTGATTATATAAGAGTAGACGTGATTCATGTCGTAAGAATGAAAAAGCGTTAAGCAAGGCCACATTGGAATGGCGAACTTCAATTAGCAACGATAAGGACAACCGTGAACTTACAGCGGTAACTGATAACAATGACCATTAAATTACGTACAGAAATCTGAATTGCCAATCGTACATTTCGTAATATGTACAAATTTACATTTTATTTATATTTATTACATTTTAATTAGGATTAACTAAATAATTAACTGACTAACTAGGACTGATAATGTTTGATCTCCAGTTCATTGCGTATGGGTGTAATGGGTGATGATGGAATGGTAACCCCGCCTGCGCTATCAGTATAAATTGGCTGGACACCAGTAAGTTATAATAGGTGAAGATAAAAAGACAGCACAGGCCAGTTAGCCCATTGTGATGAATACACTTGGAATTCAGCACGATGGTTTCCCGGGTCACGTACAGGTCGAACTGGATATATTGCTAGCAATGGGCCCTTAGTATCCATTATTAACAACTGCCCCCCCCCCCCCCTCTTCAGTTCATTAGGGAACTCCAAATAATATCATTCAACGCATGTCACGTTTGCTTTGCTTTTATTTGCAAGTTACAGGAAAGATAGTCACAGGATTATACTCACCGAGTTGGAACTCATTGGGTTACTTATGATGAGTAGGAAATTTTTTGACTAATGATTGATTAAAAAATAATCACTTACGATGCCTTTGAACACATATAGATCTATTTTTAAACAATATTAGGGCTTTAAAAGTATAGTTTAAATTCACTGCAGGACGCCTTTTTCCTTCTTACATTCTCCTTAATTTGATCTTAAATAAGTGAGAATTACCTAATCCAAAAAGTATAGGAATCCCGTCTTCTATTCCTGGGTCTATAAATATTACTATTTGACATTTCATGGCAGCCATTCCAGCCAATAATAACTTTTGTTCACAAATTTACTGGCATTCACTTACAAATTCTTCCTAGTTTTTTTTTTATCCATATAAAAGCAATGCTCAATCAGTAATGGGCTCCGATGGGCCAAAATATACTTAAAAAAGATATAACAAATAGGTTCTGCTTTCATAACGATATGTCTACACTGATGTAGCATAGCATCAATCATCCATTAAAAATAAAAAAAGAAATCCTCATCATCTTGTTTATTAAAGGTAAATAAAATATAAGGTAATGTAGATTATCAAACACTTTTGAATAATCCATATAAAAAAGGTAGTTTTTTTTTTAATATAAGTTGGTGACGAGGGAATATGATTACACTTATAAATAGCGGCATTCATTTTATTTAATACTTATTTTTCTTGTTTTTTAAATACATAAAGCATAATCAGTAGTCGAGTCGAGAGGTCACGGCTATGAACTTATGAATGAACGAGTCTAACTTGTTTCTATGACTCTTAAAATCTATCTACAAATATAGAAAATGATAACTTCATTAATTAAATAGCCTATAGTCGTGCACATGAAGTAAATTTGAAAGAGGTGTGCTAAATAAAAATACGTCTTATGTGTCGGATAATATGATTTCTAATGGTTCTCTTTCAATAAATAAATAAATAAATAAATAAATAAATAAATAAATAAATGGTTGAAACAATGAAATTCTTAGGTATATATTTAGATTCGCTCTTAAATTGGAAAGCTGAAGTAAGTGCAGTAGACGACGCTATAAGCTCTGCATGAACTTCGTACTGAGAGAAGAACAGAGTTGTTGACAATCTATTATGCTTGTTTCGATATAGCATAAAATTTTGGGGAAATAGCTACAAGTATAACACAAATAGAGCATTTATAGCACAAAAGAGAGCCATTAGAGCCATGGTTCATATTCCTCCCTGGGAATCGTGTGCAGGACATTTTAGAAGACTAAAAATACTAACTGTTCCAAGCCTATATATTCATGTTCTGCTAATAGATTTAATTAAAAATAGACATTTATATGAATCAGAGGATAGAATGAAACAACGATTAATTACAAGAAGGATGGATTTACAAAAGGTTATTATACCCACATTTAACATAGTACAACATTGTCCACGAAACCAAGCGGTGGTGTTATTTAATAAGCTGCCTAAGGAATTAAAGTCACTGAATGATTTAAATATCTTCAGGACAAAATTGAAGTCATTACTGCTAGAAAGGTCTGTACTCAATTGATAATTATGTAAATTTCTATATTGTTTATGTTAAGAGATGACTAAGTGACTATAATATTTGTTTTATGCTTGATTTAATTTATATTTTATATAGTGTATGAAATTATTGTATCTACTATAACATTCAAATACAAATTTTTGTTTATGAATAAATAAAATAATAATAATAATAATAATAGCATTTCCGTTATCAATGTAATTACAATGTACTAAGTTATTGAAGGTCGTTGCAGGCACGCAGTAAGACACGTGGTTGGTCGCCATAGTGACAGGTTGAAATGAAACGAATTGAGAATGCATACGCTTTCTGATTGCTTTATCAGCAATGTAGCTATTATTGCAACATTTTTTTTTTCAATTTAGTCATGCATAATACTGTTCTTTATCATCTATTCTGAAAATTTCAATCACTCACTAGCTTCAAAAACTCTGTCAAACCATAATATCTCTACCTTTAAGTACTATTTTCCCGTGTTCTCTCTTCATCTTCCAGTTTCATTCTCTCCTGTTGTATGTGTGATATTGTGTATGTTTACGTATATATGTATGTGTCTTTTTTTCTTTCCTCAATGTCCTGTAAGTCCAATGTCCCAAAGGTGGTCTGGAAGAGATTGCTTAGCGATAATACCGCCTTTTGT